TTTAACTTATTGTGACTTTTTTTCGGAACTTATATAAGAAAATTCAGATCCAGAAAAAACATGAAAGAAGAAAAGTTTAACAATAAAAAAATATTACAAGAAGAAAAAAAATTAATGGCTCAAGTCAAGGAATGACAAAAAAATCAAGAACGAACAATAGATTTAATTCAATAATTTGCGTTGATTAATTGTTTAACTGATAAAAAATTTTTTATAAGTTAATTAAAAATTAAAGTAATTCCTTCTTTTGTAAATACGATTGTCTAAAATTGATAAATATATCAAATTTGATCAACTTTGCTGATTTTTTAACTGTCTCAAAAATAGGGTCCTGTGGTTTGAGACACTGGGGACATGTGACTTTAAAGTGTCTCATAAATAGGGTCATGTAGGTTCCCCAAAAAAACCATAATTTAATTAATTTTTGACCAAAAAAACTATAAAAACAATATGAACATTGATTTAATGATCATCAAATTATCGTATAATGCGATTAAAAGTGTATTTTTTTCTTAAATGGATTAATTACTCGCAGGAATGTTCAACCTACCTTGAAAAGTGTCTCATAATAGGGACTTTTACCTTATAGGTCTTGAATTGACTTGTATTCTGATAATCAGAATACTTGGTATTTTGATTATCAAAATACTTTTTTCTCAGTGTGATATTGATAATAAAAATATAAGCAAACACATTAAAGATTGTGTCAAATTATCCAGCTTAACAATTGGTAAGATCCAGAGCTGGTAGGTAGTAAGAAGATATTTAGTTTTAAATAATCCCGTTCTCTTACAACTTAAACCATCATTCTAACCCCCGGGCAAACATTTCCCTCTCCTTCTTTTCTCATCCGCGACCTCTAATATAAATATACATATACATCTATACATAAATATGTATAAACCGGGTAGCTCTCTTCAGATACCGGAAATACGGGCGAAGCCGAGCTTAATTAGGAATTAAGACTCAAGATAAGTCTGGAAATTCCGTGTTATTTTCTCGGCTTAAACTTAACTAGTTTGTTATAACTTATAACTTATACCATAACTATTTAACATTTCTTGTATTTTAATAATTTATTCATTTATTTTAATTACTCTGTTAATTGATAATGACAAGTTAAATAGTTTTGCTTTTAATTATTCAAAAAATTATATAGAAATAAACTTTTTTTTTTTTTTTTAAATCCCGGGTTTAATAAATTACCGTACCATAGACTCCATAAAGCGGACACCCAGCAGCCTTGGATCCCTCCAGGGAAGACCACCTGGCCCGGGGCGACCCCACGGTTGCAATGACACCTGAGTAAATATGTCATTACAATTACGAGTAATTACTTTTGACAATGCTTTTAAGGTGAATAAATTTTAAAAAAATGACCCTAGCAATTTTGATGAAGATGAAATTAAAATTAAGTGCTTGTTATTAAGTTAAGGGTGGTCGAAAAAAATTTTTTTTCAAATAAACTATATATACAAAGCTTAAAAAATAACTTTTAAGATAATACCAAAATTATTTAGGTAAAAAATTTTTAAGATACTTTTTAGGGCCTTTAAAGCTCTAAACCGGTCAAAGTTTATGATTAAAAAAAAAAATCAGACAATAATGATGATAATTCCTCAGAGTGTTCAGCAAACAGAGCTGAGAGTCACGAAATGTTTGAATGATAGGTAAAACCTTGGCAGCTCGCGTGACGAGATACCACCTGAGTTGACTAATGACCGATGAATAATAACGCGACGATAATCATTGAAATTAGATCTACATATTATCAGTAAACGTCGCGATACCATCTGCACCTCCTTGTTAATATAAATCATCAATAAACGCGATAAATAAAAACCGCCTACATGACCTTCTTTCCCAATTTCCGGCTTCTGGCTTTCTCAGAAATAAAAATCAACTAGTTTAACTGCAATCTACGGTGAATTTCCTAAAAAATGAGTACCCACACGTCCTAAAGGTCATATGTGACCATATCTGATCACATGTCATATATGATCATATGTGATCAGCACATACGTCATATATGATAAAAACAAGCTAATCTACCTAAATTTTCCTAAAACATGAGTACCCACATGTCCTAAATGGCCATATGTGATCATATGACGTCATATGTGATCATATATAATCATGTGACGTCATATAAGACATATATGATCAGCATAGATGTCATATATGATAAGAACAAGCTAGTCTAGTGTAATCTACGGGAAATTTCCGAAAAAATAAGTACCCACACGTTTTTTAAGGTCATATATGATCATATGAAGTCATATGTGATCATATGTAACATATGTGATGAATATATGAGTCATATATGATAAAAACAAGCTGATTTAGTGTAATCTAAGGAAAATTTCCGAAAAAATGAGTACCCACATGTTTTTAAGGGTCATATGTGATCATATGTGATCATATGACGTCATATCTGACGTGTGTGATGAACACATACGTCATATATGATCACATATGGTCACATATGAGAAACCATAGGCGTGTGGGTACTCATTTTAAAGGGAATTGAATCGCCGACACTTCGAGCCAGTTTATTTTGTGACTATTGATTATTAAAATTTATTAATGTTATGATTATTATTATTATTCTTAAGGACTACTTAAAGTATCAATAATATAGTATCAGCAGTAGGACACGAACAAATCGATCGAGAACTCAAGGATCCACTGACTGGCGCAAGATCGCTCCTAATCACGCTAGTGCATGAAATGAATGCAGTGACCTCCAATTGAGAACAAGGACATGTGAGTTTAGAAATTTTGATGTCGATAATAATAATAATAATAAATGTGATTTATTTTATTATTTTAGTTATTCTAGATTTATTTTTTTACCTGGGAGCTGGGCGGCGACAGCGGCTCGAGAACCACGTTCTTCTTCTTTAGAGAACCGGAGTAGGGGGCACCTCCTCCCGGCTTCCCCCAGGGAGAGTAGGTTGACTGCAAATGACGGAGCTGGAAATATTTATTTGATAAGTACTTATTATTCATTTATATTTAAGATGTCAAACTTTAACTAAGAATAACTTTTTAAAAATTAAATTTTTTTGAAAAATTATAAGAGACCTTCTTTATGGAGACTTTAATTTCTTAAGAATTAATTATAAATATTTTTGATACGTCGCTTGTGCTAAGAGGTATTTTAATTTCTAACGAAAATTAAGAAATGGCCTTGTATCTTGAGAACTATTGACATTTTTGAAGATATAAGCTCATCCTGATGTTACACTCATCAAGACCTTTCATTTGAGTACCCACA